CGCGCTGTTTTCGGGTTGCCTATGTGGATATAAGCAATCCTGTCGGCCGAAAGTGCATCGACAGGCAGCACCAGGTCACCACGGGTAAGCACAATGAACTCATTAGGGTGGAGCATACACAAGAAGCCTAGCAGTGTAACTGCCGCCCAGTCCGCCCAGCCCCACAGCAGCGCCAGGCTGAGGGCTGCAAGCAGGACCGGTCGAGAAATGACAGGTCTGCACGAACGGGTTCTGCAAGCTGCCACTTCTTGTCAATCTGCCAGGCAGGAGTCAGATGGGAACGGAACTCTGGACAGAGGTCCTGCACCGCAGTGATAGCATACACCAGCAGGTAGCGGGGGAAGCCAAGCCACCTTCGAAAAGTGCAAGGCCATACGCTCGCAGGGCAAGGGCAGCACTGCGTTGCGAACTAAGGACCTGCTGAAGAGACAAACCAAACTCATCCAACAGCCAGCACCTGAAAGCCTCAAGACTCTTAGTCATCTTCTGACGAGTGGACGCAGCAAAGCCGGACTGCAAGTCGAGGGGGCCACGAGCCGGGCGAGCAGGTGCACAGGCGTGCCTCCCTGGCGGAAGCGAGGCGCCGCGAGCTGCAGCAGCAGGGGCTTGCGTTGCAGAACTGGTTGAGCTCGCAGATCCCGTCAAAGCGGCGGAACGCGCAGGTTGCACCGACACCTGAGGTTGAGGCTGGCGTGGCAGTCTAGCGCTGCGACGACCGGTGGCCCCAAACACGCCAGTAGCTGGTCCTGGGTTTCGCTCAATGTCACCTCCAAGGAGCAACAACAGACGCAACCATCGCGAGGCGAGTTTGGGGACACCTTGTGAGGCCAGGTACACGTCGAAAAGACTGTAGTCGCGTCGGCAGAGAGCCTCGTACCAGACGGGCAGGGCCTTCGTAGGAGCTTCGGGAGGTCTGTTGCGGGAAGGTCCATCAGCGCGGTTCTTGCTGGAGTAGATGTGCAACCCACCTGTGTACAGGCCGCCCCCTAGCACGAAGGGGAGCTCAGTGCGCTGCACGTGGCTCAGGGCGGCACTGCTGGAGCGCCCCTTTGCACTAGCACCCAAAAGAACCCTACTATCAATGAGACCCACAGTCCTAGACCTACGAAAGAAGCGACACAAGTGTTTCAACCAGGTCTTGCGCGCCCTGGCCTCTTGGATGTTAATGTGCCCCTGCCGCATGAAGCGGTACCTCACAATCTCCTCGAAGGGGAGGGAATCGGCTAGTTCGCCAACCCACTCCGGATCGTCGAAGAAGGCTCTGCTAGTCGGCCCAACAGCTAGAGATTCGTCAGATTCTCGATTGTGCGACGGCACAATCCAACCGAACTCTTCCAGACAGGCACACTTAATTGACAAGGGGATGATCTCAATCGCTCCACGCTTGGCTTGAAGGCTCCCGGCTGCCATCTGTTGGACTAAGGGCAGAGGGTAGGTCCCAGAGAAACTCGCAATAGAAGCACCGACTTTAGGTTCAACACCGAAAACGGCAGCAACCGAGGGCCTACAGCGGGACCTAAAAACCGAAAGGAAAGCGGGCGAGAAAGAACCCTGAACAAGTAAGTGCTTACCTTTGTGGGGGCACGAGCAGGAGCCGGCAAGCTTAAGCAACCAGGGCTTGTTGTGTAACCACTGCATAGGTTTCATGAAGGGCGAACCAAAAGAGCAGCTGCAAAAGCGCGTCACTACGGCTCCGGCCAAAATAAGAACCTGAAAACAGTGAAGGTAGAACATCACACTGGAACCCGGTTGCTCAATGCTGAAGAAACCCCCCATTCGCAGGATCAGACTGCAAAGGAAGGCGGTGCGCCTAGCCAACCTGTTGTGTTCAGCAGTCAGAGGTGCAGAGCTGCTGAAACCGTCGGGCCTGGCCTTGCTGCGCAAACGTGGGCGCCGAAGTGTTCCAAATGTACGGCAGGGCGGCCCAAAATGAAACTCACCAACGACCCGCCGAAGCACAAGCGCAAGTACCTCCTGGAACACAGTCTTGTCACCCAGATCCGAACTGAAAGGCGGAGGTTCCGCAATGTCGATGCCCGGGTGCGCAGACATGCCAAGCTGCACATGGGCACGCGTCCAGACTTTGGAACCAGAGAAAACCTCAAGCACATCAAAGAGAATACCTTCCTTAAGGGGCCTAGGAAAAAGCGTCTCAGCACAAAACCCAAGCTTAGGCATCTCTGAGGGCGCCGTAGGTTCCAGGCCTTGTTCACGCAGCAGAGCGGCCGCAGGAGACTCAAGCTTCGAGTAATAACCTTTCTGCTCGGTGTGCCGCCACAGCTCGGCAATCACATGCTGTGGGACCGGAGCGCGGCAGATGCCTGCTCCACTTGGGGAGGCGTCCATCGCGTACAAGAAAGGTGTGTACTCAACGCGCAAGTCGGCCTGCAGCACAGAGCCCAAAACAACCAAGGCAGCAAGTTCGTTGAGGGTCTGCCGTGAGAGCGGGAACACAGCATCGCGGGGCAGATGCCCGGCATCGACGAAAGCAGCGCTGAGGATGCAGAGCGCTGGCCGACGAAACATCAAGACGTGGATCCACAATCCAATGATCGATGCAAGTAACGCGCTCGTCGCGGTGCCTCGAGAAACAAGCTGGCAGGTCAAGTACATCAAGACTCCTGTGCGGTGGCGGGGGGCCCCCACAAGCCCGACTTCGCCGTCCACTTCCGCACCAAGGAAAATGCCTTGGAGAAGATTTCGCTTTCTCTTTTTCTCATGTTGCACCAATTGAACATCACGATAGGCTTTCTCGGCTTGCTCGAAGATCTCTGTATCACGCGCACGAGTTCCTGCACGAAACTCGTCTCGGGTGACCTTCTGAGCAACAACATGATCATCTACGGCGAGCAGCTCTGCAGTGTCACCCCTAGGGAACGGCTTGCGATAGGCAACCGTCTCATCCGCTCTCATGCTTCCACCCAAGAACCGCAACACATTGTGATGAGATTGTTGTGCGATCTCGACCGCACAACAATCCCCCATCGCTAATGTAGCAAGCGCAAGATACACAGGAGCATCATGCAAATCTGGATCATAACACGATAGATGTTGCACTTCTTGGGGTTTAAACCTAAACCGGATGCAATTGCGGGCTGCCCTAGCTGGGGTTACAGCGAACGTATAATAGAACTCAGTTAGATCGTCAGCCGAAATTCTGAGAACTTGCTGGTCGTTGAGTTGAACAAGGGTCAGAAGACATCCCGGTGCAAGACCGCGCGTGTAGTTCGAATAAGGTTGGGTCCGAGAATTAACTACAGTGGGATTAATAATCAACCTATCCCACATGCGATCTTTAGGGATGGCGAATAATCCTACAGCTTCTTTTGGGTCAACCTGAGAACATTTGACAAGTTGGAGGGCTCCCACATGATCCCACTTAGCCGCCAAAGCCAAAAGTTCACCCTTTGAGCAATGCACCTGAGCTGCGCGAGCCGGTGGCCAGGCATCCTGAGGCAGGCGTAGTGAGTTTGGGTTGTGGTACGCGGCTCGCACTATTGGGTCGCTCAAATATGGAGTGGGATCGAATTGGGGAGCTTGCTCCCACTTGATTCTTGACGCTTTGACCTCTTTGTACTGAACCGAACCCCCTAACCTAACGTGCCCTAGGCTAGCGGGGTTCGGGTTGGGCAAAGGCGCGCTTGTAGGGGACCTAGATCGGGCCTCGAGTGGCAAAATGCCAAGTGCCGGATCGGCTCTCTCGTGGTAACTTACAGGTGGCGCTTCAGATCCACGATGAGAGAATGCAGAGTCTGGTGTATTACGCGGCTTAGGTCCCGAGCCACGCGAATAAGGATCAAACTCGGCAGCCAATGCATCAACTAATTCGGTGAGGTCCACATCCGAGCATGGCACAACATGACACGGCAGTTCCTGCGCAGCATGCAAAGGAGCTGCAAACTTTTCCTCGCAACGACCTAGAGCGGCACCTGTGAGCGGCGCGGCTCCGAGGAAGTGGCACACGTGACGGCTGAGAATGCTCTGCATGTCAAGCTGGTCCAGGGACAAAGGGCCGCCAACACAAGCTGCCCTCGGAGGCGTTTTAGGACAACCCAAGGCAAACCAATTTAGTGTTGCAACGATCCAGGAAAGGAGCTTGGCATGAAGTGCTAGCATGCGTTTGCGCTTCCGTCTGCGGGGGCTGAGCTTGCAGGGGCCTGTCCATCGCCACCGCGGTGGGGGACAAGGCCACAGGATGCCTCGTTCGAAAGAAGCGGGCTGACTGGTGCAGGCGGGTGCGGCTAAGGAAAGGGCAACGAACTGTGCAAGCCCAACCCTAGAGCAACCTAAAGGGCGAAAACAACACTCAACCCAGAACTTAAAGTCTAGGGGGTTTTCGGGCAAAGGCTGATGAACGGGGTCGTGGCTCGAGGGCACATCCTGGTGACCATCAAGATTCGCCGGTGACTGCGTTCGAGCCTCGGCTGCTGGCATCGAATTAGGAAACTCAAAAGGGGACCCAAAAGATCCCGGCGCCACGTGCTCCGCACAGGCAGCCTTAAAAAGCTCGTGGTTCATATGCGACGCGGCTTTCACTTCGCGTCCTCGATTGCCCCTCGGGGCTTCCGCGGTGGCCGCCGGGGCCTCACTGGTGCACTCGCTGCTGCTGGGTCCTCTGCCTCCTCGCCGGTCGCCGTGTGTGTCGGCCCCCCACGCGTTCCGGTTTTCATCCGGCCCTCTGAGAACTCTATGTCTCGAAGGTAGGCCACCTGGGCTGCGATCCACGTGCTCTGGCACAGCCTCGCATAAGGGCGAAGGTCCGAGCGGCGATGTTGCAGAAGCGAGGTGTCTGGGTCGGGAAGACCCCCAAGCAGCCAAGCCATTTGCGACCGGCCGTTGTCGATCGCCCACTGCTCCACCATAACCAGACCTCTTGCTGCCCAAAACTCGGCCAGCTCGTCGTCCTGGGACCGGGCGTCCTCCCACATGTGAGCAAAGAAGAAGCCCATCAGCGTCAGCGTCTTCAGCTCCCGGATTGGCACCTTCCTTTCCATGAACTGCCGCATCATCCCAGGAGTCTGGCTCGCCAGCCCGAGCTCCGTCTGCGCCCTGGCCGCGACCGCCTGAGCGAATTCCTTCTTCTTCGTCAGCACACGTAGGTAAGCATCCCTGGCCGCGACACCGCGGGCCCCTGTGACGCTGCTGCCTCCTTCGCTGCCCGAGCCGCCTGAACCCTGCAAGGCATGTGCGATCGGATCCGAAGGCGGCGTTCTGGCGGCAGCAAGCTGAGCGAGAACTTGCGTCTGAGTCGCAAGGAAACGCATCATCGCGGCTTGGGCTGGGTCTGCTGGTGCATCGTCTTGTGCTAAGGCCTCCAGCTCGATCTCCGCCAGATCGTCGTTCTCGGCTTGGGCACCGGCCTCCCGTGGTTGCCTCTCGTGCTGGGCCAAGCGATGTGGTTGAGGGCCGGCTGCTTCTTGTAGTCGCTTCCAGTCCTGAGCCGTCAGATCGGGGGAGCCGCCAGCCAGGCCATCGAATAGCGACCGAGGGCCGCGATTCAAGGGCGCACGTTCTGCCGGCGCAGTCGTCTGGGCCTTCGCCATCCTCCCTCGGCTCTGCTGCGCCTCCAGCTCCAGGATCCGCGCCTGCAGCTGGGAAACCACATCGTCCTGTGCCGCCTCGCCATCTGGGGTGCCATGGGCGGCCGCCGCGGCCGCCTCGTCGTCTTCGGGAGTGTCCCTGCCAGACCCAACCTGGCTGGCGGCTGTCACATACTCGCCGAGTGCCGGGTCGTCCACCACTTCTGCAATCCAGCGGTCCGCGAGCTCCAGCGCAGCACTGCGAATCGGGCGCACCACCTGGGAGTCCTTGCGAATAGCGAGCAGTTCGAAACTCCCCCGGCCGCTCTTGCGAAAGTAAGACAGGGCCCCCCAAGGGGCGTCGACCACGTAAATCTCCTTGCTGCCCGCGACGCGTCGCCTCACAGTCTCGACCTCCACCTCGGCCGGCTTGTAGAGCATGGCTTCGGAACCGTCCGGGGAAGCAGCGGCAGCAGCTAGGACCTCGGTCACGCGATCCTCCACATCGCAGATAAACATAAATCCTCCGGGCCGGACTCGGAGCACGAAAGCCACGGCCCGCCAGCTCGGGACCTTGCTGCCATCGGTCAGGTGACAAAGTCCCAACGGGCGGTCTGGGTCGCTGGCCTCCCCCAGCCGCCGCACCTCGGTGCACTTAGATAGCGGCCGGCCATGGCCGACCGGCAGCTGCCAAGTACGCGTTTGCCTCGGCCCGCGAGGCAAACCCGTGGCTGATCGATCCGTCCTCAATTCGGCCGCTGCGCCCGCCAAGCGTCAGCTTGTAAGTGGCGAAGCTCTGCGTGACGAAGCCGTTGGGGTAAGCAGCACACCGCAGGCAGATATACCAACAGTTGCGCACTCGAATGGGCGGCGACTTGTCTACCACCCTGATCGGCCCCACCAAGGCCCGACCTGCACTGAAGCCAGCTCGCAAAGCCCTTGCCACACGACCGTTCGCAGTCCAGGGAAAGGAATCAGAGAGCGAGGCTTGAAAATGCTCAAAACTCCCAAGGTCTACCTCGTTCAGCTCCTGGGCTGTCTCAAGATGCTGCAGTCGGTTTGCAAGCTCGGTCACCACGCCAGCTGCGAGCGGGAGCTCGCCAGCAAGGGGTCCAGTAGGTTGGGGCCCGAAGTCGGAAGCACTCACTGGCACGTCAGCCGCACTCGGTGCTGGCTCTGTTGCCGTGGCAGAGCTAACCAACGAAAAGGAAGCTGATGAAGCAGGCGCTGTAGGGCCTGAGTCGTCTGCTCGAATGGTAATGTTCAGGCCTCGGAGCCGCACGGTGACCTCCTCAAGTTCGTCACCTCCAGAGCTCATGCACGGTATTCCCGAAGTCGGTTTGCCACAGTCTGTGCTGGAGCCGTGGGAAGCGGATCCAAATAAGCAGCAAGCAGCCTAATACAGGTGGATGTGATGCGCCGAGCTTGGGAAGATAGTGCTAATGCGGTGCAGATTGCTCCACAGCAGCAGCCGCAGCAGAAAAGCAAAAGCCCGCAGAGGATGAAGAACGATGGGCCCCAAGTTGAGGAAGGTAGTGCCCAGGCCCGCAATTCACGAAGGAGATCTGACACAACTAGGGGCCACATGAACCAAAAAGCTTGAGCCGGTCGAACAATGGCTTGGGAGTACGCGATACTGGCATATCCTCCAATCCTCCGACCCTCTCTCTCCCAGGCATTCGATACGTCAAGCCTGCAATCCTAAACCCTAAACATCCCCCCTAAACCTAGGACCTCTATTAAAGGGTTGCCGCGAGGGTTCAAGCTTCTGTCCAGGAATCCGAGGGGCTTTACGGTTTCAGGGTTGAGGGTTTGGGGTTTAGAGTGGCATTTGTTTGCGAGGATTCGTACATTGCCATGGACACCTCGCACACGTAGTGAGGACGGACATTCTTTTTGATTTGGCCAAGATTCAATCTGAATAGGCCCCAAGGCCAGAACACTTCCCCAGTCCTGAAATCCTTAACATGATCCTAGATCTGCCTTTGCTCTCTGCGGACCAAAGCTGTGCCAAGATGCTTCAGATGTGTGCCGATTCTTTTTGACTTTGCCACTTTTCGCGTCTTGCTATACTTTCCGACTTTTCGCGGCTTTTCGACTTTTCGCGCTTTTGCTGTACTTTCGACTTTTCGCGGCTTTACGACTTTTCGCATTTTGCTGTACTTTTCGCGGCTTTTCGACTTTTCGTTTTTCATGTAAGACCGCTATTTTGTTGCCACTTTCGACTTTTCGCGCTCAGTTTGGTATTCTCCACTTATCCGTGCCCACAGCCGTTCGCAAACACGGCGCCCACTTTCTGCCTATGATTAAGGTCAAGCGAAATTTCAGGTGCCTCGATACGTTCGATCCCCTTCACATCGGAGACGGTCGCAGGGCTGAAAACCTGCTTGGAACGGCCGGGCTTGGGGGTGCTCCGAGCGAGGACGTTCAATGAGGCAAGCACAGCACCGAGGCAGCTCGCCGGCTGATGCTTTCTCGCCAGAAACTCTTGGAGGAGCTCCTGTGAATTCGAGTCCCCAAGACCTGAATGCACAGCCACGCACAGGCCCTGCCTTCAGCTCGGCACAATGTCGATGTAAGTAAGCGTCCAGCTCCTCTGAAGAGGATGTACAGTAAGATTGATAACTCCTGAATGGCCCTGGCTCACTACAAAATCCTGATCGAGAAAAACGTCTCGTTCAGAGGACCGCGGCGGTGCTTCTTCAGCAGCCTGAACACGCTACTTGACACTAAACATTGCAAGCAAATCCAAGTGCATGCCGACATGGACCCCAACAGCGAAGGATCGCAAACAGGACCACACTTAATCTATCCCGGCACGCCCCGTAGCCTTACTAGTGTTACCTCACCCTGTGGGCAGTGATGCAGAACAGCGCTTGGGGACCTGCCGCTCGCCCGGCACGGCCATGTCGTGCGCATCTTTGGAGCGAGACCCCTGGCCCATGGCATCCATGTAGGCATGCAGCTACATGCAACTGAACATGACAGGTCCACGGGGACTACAAGCCAGAACAGCTGTGGAGGAAAGCGAATCCAACAAAATCCATCAATTTCGCGTTTGCATGCGACAAACGACCTGGGTTCGAGGACGATCCATTCGTGTCCGCTTGTCCTTCAACCAAGCACTTCAAGGCCTGCAGGGCGCGTCAAGCGACCAAGAAAACCCGGAAACATGAAGGAATCATAACACTATATGTGCATGAGAATGGCTGACAAATGTCACAAGTCGACTGGGTCAAATGACAGAATAGTCGACACAAAAGGGGGTCACACTGCAAAAATACCGTGATGTTCTTCTTGAGCTGCCAGCTAGCATCCACTGCCTTACAGGGTTGTAATCCAGATTTAACCTCCGAGTTCCGGGCCACCGGAAGATCGCCAACGTCGGCCTTGATTGCAAAAGATGATGCCAACGACTGTACGACGCATGCGAACCGTGGCCTCGGCTGCCAACCTCAGTCCAAAACACAAACGGTATCACAATCTTCGTATTCCAGTGCAAATCCCTTCAGAGCTGTATGATGAGCCCCCGAACCATACTTCATGTGAAGATGGGCCTGTTCATGCACAGGGTCCAAGGAGAAGCTCGTCATGCACTGAAAATGATGGGCCTGTCAGGTCCTCCTGGCCGTGACCAACCTGGAACCAAGTGTGTGCTGCTTCGGGCAACACTCCGAAGAGACGTCCGGGCGCTTGGCTGGCTTTGTGAGCTGAGGCCTTCACTACGAACAATTTGCGGGAATGTTCTGGAATTTGATGCCCCCGCCGACAGAGCAGCCAGGTGATGCAAATCGAAACTGAGAACGTCACTCGGAGCTGCGAGTCTCTGGCGACGGCAGTTTCGGTCTACGGCAGCATCACCATGTTAAACAATCACCGCATACGCGAGACAACTGGCATGACATGGTCGATTGCTACTGATGCAACTCAAGAATGAAGTGTATCGGCCATATGCCACAAGCTGCACATCAGCATGCATTCAACTCGGTGGCGAACTCTTTGTCCGACTGTGCGTCGATTGGACCTAATGTCAACGCAAAGACTGAGCACGAAACGCGCCTGAGGCAGGCGGCTACCTTCTCTAGGTGGCTACAATGTTTTTCCGGCTCGCATCCACCGTTTGTTGCCTTCTTCAACCCTGTACTGAATCCGCCTGAAGCATGTTCAACCCATGCGCAATTATTTTATGAGCGGTTTCGATATACATCACTGTGCCCATAGTTATCCACTGCCAGATGCACGGAACAACAAATACAAGTTTAATGTTACTTGTTCATTTTTGCAGGGAAGGCCGAACTCCGGGGACAAGACTGTTTGCGTCTGCCTTGTCTCCCGCACCTGCGCACACTAGAGCCACTGCCTGCACAAAACCACGTATTCGAAGGGTTCCGAGCACGGCAACTAAGCCTGGCACCTTTTTGTCTGCCTGTGGCCTGTGTCAATGCAGCTTCGGGAAAGATCAGGCACTGCTTTCATACAAAAACCTACCGGGAAAGAAACGTAACCACATAACCCAGAAATTATTATAGGAGCTACGTCTTTGGTTCCAATATGATATAGGTGTATAAAGCTAGCGAAAAGAATGCATGCGCCAATTAATTTAATAAAGACAAATGAAATAATTTCGAGATCCTGTGGCCTTTCCAACTGTACAAAAGAGGAACGGTAAAGAAGGAAACCACAAGAGAATTCCAACTACCTGGATCACCCACGTTCCTTTGCATTCCATATAACCTAGAATTTCCACTAATAATATGAAGAAGGGCGTAAGCAAAGAAAACTCGCTTCGCTTTTCCCTTATATGGGTGATTCGCCTCGGGCTTGGTAGCTTCATCATCGTCGTCCGGCCCATTTGCCAGCAAGCGTTGACGTCTGCAACAATGTGAATCAAGATGCTTGCGCGCTCATGACGGCAGCACTCTTGCTTGCGGGCAAGTATACTGTGCATCCAATGTCACCGCCTTTCTTCCAGGATGCCTTTCGGAAGGCCGTCCATGCCTATCCAAGCTTGGATGCTCGTGCTTTTCTTTTGGTCCACACAAGTCAATGTATGTCTCGGGCCACGCACATCAACATCTGGATTTTCCCGGCCGGTCCTCAGATGCAAAACATCTACGGTGGACTTCGGTTAAAAATTCAACATGCACTGCCGTAAGCTTTCGGCATGGAGTTGGGGACTTCCTTCAAACTTTTCTTGAAAGCATTCAGCCTCGTCGGCAGCAGGCCGCCAGCTTTCCAAGCACCCGCATGACGCGGACACCCGTAAGTCTGGCAGCGCGACATGTGCACACGCAGCCCGGTGATTGAATCAAAGGTTCCTGAAAACATCGAGCGGAGGCAAGCAAGAAAGAATTCAAATGGAAACCCCGTCACGGATTGACGCTTTTTTGCTGGCAAGCAGCGGCCGCTTTCTTTGCAACAGAAATGCCGCAGTCCTGGCCGAAGGCGTAAACAAGCGGCGGCATGCCTTCGCATCGAACATGATGAGGAAGCTGCGCTGATGATGCACCAGCGACTTGACATCATCGAACCTGCTAGAATCGGTTGGTTGCACGGCATCAAGCTCCACATCTCAGCTCGTGGCACAACTTTGAGTCAGTGGCTCGCGGTCGCAATAGTAACAGAAAAAACGGCCGTCACCAACA